AGTCTATAGTCTAGTCTATAGTCTAGTCTATAGTCTAGTCTATAGTCTAGTCTATAGTTTAGTCTATAGTTTAGTCTATAGTCTAGTCTATAGTTTAGTCTATAGTCTATTCTATAGTCTATTCTATAGTCTAGTTTATAGTCTATTCTATAGTCTAGTCTATAGTCTAGTCTATAGTCTAGTCTATAGTCTAGTCTATAGTCTAGTCTATAGTCTAGTCTATAGTCTAGTCTATAGTCTAGTCTATAGTCTAGTCTATAGTCTAGTCTATAGTCTAGTCTATAGTCTAGTCTATAGTCTAGTCTATAGTCTAGTCTATAGTCTAGTCTATAGTCTAGTCTATAGTCTAGTCTATAGTCTAGTCTATAGTCTAGTCTATAGTCTAGTCTATAGTCTAGTCTATAGTCTAGTCTATAGTCTAGTCTATAGTCTAGTCTATAGTCTAGTCTATAGTCTAGTCTATAGTCTAGTCTATAGTCTAGTCTAGTCTAGTCTATAGTGTAGTCTATAGTCTAGTCTATAGTCTAGTTTATAGTCTAGTCTTTAGTCTTTTTTCTAAATCACACTTTTGGCCCTAAAAATCGCTTTAAAAACACACTAAATTTACAATTTTTATAATAATAACAATAAAAATAACAAACTTATCTCAAATCCCCATAATCCCATATTAACCGTAATAACAATTGAACCAATTTATATGATATAGATTTGAGTTGATAATTTATTTACTGACCTGTAGTGCATAATACATATATTCGTTTCTAATAAAACTTCCATAGCGTATTAAAAGGGTTTGACGACAAGCCGATAATTGTTGTGAATTTGTAATTATTAGGTGAATTATTTAAAAATACTTTATTATTTTTACATTTTATTTTATACTGGAGTGTGTTGATTATAATGAATTGAAATTAAAAACAAGTTATTAAAAAATTTTGAAAAAAGTCCATAGGTTCGTGTTTGTGTTGGAACGGCAAATTTTTCGCAATAAAAGTGTAGAATAATATAATTAATTGCAAAAAATAAACAGCGACATTAGTAAATTTGGCGGTTACCAATGGTTCAAATGCAAAATGTACTAAGTTAAAAGTTTTAAAAGTTAATAAAGTTATAGAATTGAGTTGTTAAAAGATTTCGTTATTATTTTTTTAAAAAATATTAAAATCTTAGTTAGAACATTTTGCTTATAAGCCAAGCTTAGCTACATATGTTTATTCATATGTGTACCTAGTTTTATATAAAATTATTAGTACTATTACTTGAGTGTTTTAAAACATTAATTACTCTAAGAGAATATTGAGTTCACACTCAATACTCAATAAATCACCAAATAAATATTTATAAATTTGAATCAGTTGATTTACAAAAACCTTGACCTTGACTTTTAGTCAACACTACACAAATAAGCAAAACAAAAAATGACGAAGACATTAAATAAAAACTGTAAACTCAACCAAATAAGTTAAAAATCATGCAAAGTTAATAAAAAAGTGAAAAAAAAAACAAAACTCATCTTCTTCAAGGTTTCGAGCAAAAAAATATTTCAACAAGAATTTACAAAAAAAGAAAAAACAATAATTAAATGTGAAAAAACCCAACTATTAAGCGAAATGATCTTGCACTAAAAATCGTAACTAAACAGTTAGTGACAAGAGCACAGGGTCTTATATTTACAAAGGTGCACTTGGCAGAAATCCAATTAAAAAGCATAAACAAGCCGGACATAAAATACGAATATCGAGTGATGCCAATTTTAGGTTTTTGAAATAGCGGTTAGCGGGAAATCTGGATATTTTTAAGCAGACTGCCCAAAACGCATTTTAGCAAAAACTTGTATAGTCTAGTCTATAGTCTAGTTTATAGTATAGTCTATAGTCTGGTCTATAGTCTAGTCTATAGTAGTCCAGTCCATAGTCTAGTCCAGTCTATAGTCTAGTCTATAGTCCAGTCTATAGTCTAGTCTATAGTCCAGTTTATAGTCTAGTCCAGCCTATAGTCTAGTCTATAGTCTAGTCTATAGTCCAGTCTATAGTCTAGTCTATAGTCCAGTCTATAGTCCAGTCTATAGTCCAATCTATAGTCCAGTTAGTCTAGTCTATAGTCTAGTCTATAGTCTAGTCTATAGTATAGTCTATAGTATAGTCTATAGTATAGTCTATAGTATAGTCTATAGTATAGTCTATAGTATAGTCTATAGTATAGTCTATAGTATAGTCTATAGTATAGTCTATAGTCTAGTCTATAGTCTAGTCTATAGTCTAGTCTATAGTCTAGTCTATAGTCTAGTCTATAGTCTAGTCTATAGTCTAGTCTATAGTCTAGTCTATAGTCTAGTCTATAGTCTAGTCTATAGTCTAGTCTATAGTCTAGTCTATAGTTTAGTCTATAGTCTCTATAGTCTAGTCTATAGTCTAGTCTATAGTCTAGTCTATAGTCTAGTCTATAGTCTAGTCTATAGTCTAGTCTATAGTCTAGTCTATAGTCTAGTCTATAGTCTAGTCTATAGTCTAGTCTATAGTCTAGTCTATAGTCTAGTCTATAGTCTAGTCTATAGTCTATCTAGTCTCTAGTCTAGTCTATAGTCTAGTCTATAGTCTAGTCTATAGTCTAGTCTATAGTCTAGTCTATAGTCTAGTCTATAGTCTAGTCTATAGTCTAGTCTATAGTCTAGTCTATAGTCTAGTCTATAGTCTAGTCTATAGTCTAGTCTATAGTCTAGTCTATAGTCTAGTCTATAGTCTAGTCTATAGTCTAGTCTATAGTCTAGTCTATAGTCTAGTCTATAGTCTAGTCTATAGTCTAGTCTATAGTCTAGTCTATAGTCTAGTCTATAGTCTAGTCTATAGTCTAGTCTATAGTCTAGTCTATAGTCTAGTCTATAGTCTAGTCTATAGTCTAGTCTATAGTCTAGTCTATAGTCTAGTCTATAGTCTAGTCTATAGTCTAGTCTATAGTCTAGTCTATAGTCTAGTCTATAGTCTAGTCTATAGTCTAGTCTAGTCTAGTCTATAGTCTAGTCTATAGTCTAGTCTAGGGTCTAGTCTATAGTCTAGTCTATAGTCTAGTCTACAGTCTAGTCTGATCCATAGACTACAGTCTAGTCTATAATCCAGACTATAGTTTCTTCTGTACTCTAATCTATAACCTAGTGTAGACTATAGTCTAGTCTATAGTCTAGCTTAAAATTTATAGTCTAGTTTGATTAAATTTTTCCTTTTCTTGAGGCTTTTGCCAAATCTCAATCTGACAGTTTTAGCGGTTTTTGTAACATGATTTGCAGAAAATGGTGAAAGCAATTGGCAGCACTGCTACCACCAAAGAAACCCAACCTATACGATCGTCAAAAAAAAAGAAACCATTCATTCATACAATTCCCTCACAATGATTGTATAGTAAAACCATATACTGATCATATCATTTCGTTTATAGACTAAAGACAATTTTTTTATCTAAATATATTTAATATAATAAAAATCAGGTTTAGGTTAATGCCATCAACTTTTATCGAACATTGATCTTGAAATAAATATGTTTTGTTTATGTATGCGCAAACATACATACATTTACGTTATTAATTTTTTTGCGATCAATAGTTTGAGTTATGATTGTTCAATTGAGAATTAAGCGTAAAGTATTAAATAATTTATACAAATATAAACGAAAAATTTTAGCAAATAATACGATCGATCTTACCATGTTTTTTACGAAAAATGTCTTAACTATAAATTATTTTAGATGATTCAATTTAATAAAATTTCCGTTAGGGATAAAATTTATAAAAAAACACGCGATTTTATTTTATAAAACTGGTTTAGTGTTTTAAAACAATTAATACCATTTTTGGGTAAATGTTTATTTTTATTAATCAAATCTTAAAACCATCACTTTAAATATTCATCCAATCATTTAATTATTCTTATGGAAATTAACAAAAACTTAAACGTGTGCGATACACAAGTTTTGCACATTTTCTTTGTTTTATTAAATAAATAAATAAATTATTTATTTATTTTATAATTAAAATAAAGTTGTACTAAAACCACTAGCATTAAAATGCAAATTAAAGTTAGACAGACTGACTGACTGACAGCTGAAATAATTTTAATCAGTTTTATATAATGTATGCCAAAGTCCAATATAAACTTCTTTTAATCGTGTTAAAAATTAATGATACAACTCATCACACTTTCGATTTTTTTTTTTAAATTTAGAATCTACATAAATATTTAATACATATTTATAAATGTTTTGTAAAATTTTATATCTGTTGCTATAGCTGAATATAGCGATGATCTTATGTGGGCAGCCTATAACTGAATTTTTTCGAAAATGAAAAGTTTAACTTTCGATTTCGATTAAAATTTTATCATAATTCTCTTGTTCCTCTATAACAGCTAGAAACCTTAAATTTTTGGTGGATGTGGCATCTGAAATTGTTGTATTTTTAGTGAAAATATTGATTTTTATAGAAAATTTGCATTTAAGTAAAAATTTTAATTTAAATTTTAAACATTAGTGAAAACTTTAATTTTCAGCGAAAAAAATGACATGACAAAACTTTAACCATGTAGGAAATTGTTTCTTTGTCAAAGAACTTACTTTGCAGACTGTAAACAAGCAAAAATCAAACTTCATTGTCAAACAACTTACTTCGCAGACTGTAAACAAGCAAAAATCAATTCTCATAGTTTGTTGATTTATGATGAATAATCTTTAAAGGAATTTACAAAAACTCCAACAAAACATTAAAAGATGAAATTGACACAAAAATATTTAACAAATATTTACTCTAGTAATTAGGAACAACGCGTATAAATAATTCTCCTTACATTCATACGTTTTCTTACAAGATTAGATAATAATTAAATTAACATTCATTAATAACATAACAGCAAAACGTATTTTGTTTACATAAACAGTTTAAAGATGTGTCTGTAATTTTAATTTTAAATGATTTTTGTTATTTAATTAAACAATTTTTGTTATCTCTACAATTGCAGCTTTTATTAATTGTTTACGAGCGAATCATCGAAGATGGGAAAACCCGAAGCATTGAGTTATGATGCCAATAATATGGCTTACATTGATTTGGGCACAGCAGTTATACGCATGGAACAAGAACAACCCCCACAATGGGCTTTAGAAATTGCACAAAAAGAATTGCGTGAAACACCGGAAGTTGTGGAAGAATCGATAAAGAAGTTAAAGGAGTTGATAACTGGTAATAACAAGATATTTAGTTAAATTTAATAAAAACATTTTAATGATTAATTTGTTTTCTTTTATATAGCTGAACCTTATTTGAATTTACCATTGGATGATGAATATATGCAAATGTTTTTGAGACCCACACATTATTATCCAGAGAGTGCATTGAAAAGAGTAAGTCTTTATTTAATAAGGATATTATTTTCGAATTATTAGAAATGGAAATAGAATTGAACTAGAACTGAACTAGAACTGAACTAGAACTGAACTAGAACTGAACTAGAACTGAACTAGAACTGAACTAGAACTGAACTAGAACTGAACTAGAACTGAACTAGAACTGAACTAGAACTGAACTAGAACTGAACTAGAACTGAACTAGAACTGAACTAGAACTGAACTAGAACTGAACTAGAACTGAACTAGAACTGAACTAGAACTGAACTAGAACTGAACTAGAACTGAACTAGAACTGAACTAGAACTGAACTAGAACTGAACTAGATCTGAACTAGAACTGAACTAGAACTGAACTAGAACTGAACTAGAACTGAACTAGAACTGAACTAGAACTGAACTAGAACTGAACTAGAACTGAACTAGAACTGAACTAGAACTGAACTAGAACTGAACTAGAACTGAACTAGAACTGAACTAGAACTGAACTAGAACTGAACTAGAACTGAACTAGAACTGAACTAGAACTGAACTAGAACTGAACTAGAACTGAACTAGAACTGAACTAGAACTGAACTAGAACTCAACTAGAACTCAACTAGAACTCAACTAGAACTCAACTAGAACTCAACTAGAACTCAACTAGAACTCAACTAGAACTCAACTAGAACTCAACTAGAACTCAACTAGAACTCAACTAGAACTCAACTAGAACTCAACTAGAACTCAACTAGAACTCAACTAGAACTCAACTAGAACTCAACTAGAACTCAACTAGAACTCAACTAGAACTCAACTAGAACTCAACTAGAACTCAACTAGAACTCAACTAGAACTCAACTAGAACTCAACTAGAACTCAACTAGAACTGAACTAGAACTGAACTAGAACTGAACTAGAACTGAACTAGAACTGAACTAGAACTGAACTAGAACTGAACTAGAACTGAACTAGAACTGAACTAGAACTGAACTAGAACTGAACTAGAACTGAACTAGAACTGAACTAGAACTGAACTAGAACTGAACTAGAACTGAACTAGAACTGAACTAGAACTGAACTAGAACTGAACTAGAACTGAACTAGAACTGAACTAGAACTGAACTGAACTAGAACTGAACTAGAACTGAACTAGAACTGAACTAGAACTGAACTAGAACTGAACTAGAACTGAACTAGAACTGAACTAGAACTGAACTAGAACTGAACTAGAACTGAACTAGAACTGAACTAGAACTGAACTAGAACTGAACTTGAACTAGAACTAAAAAAAATTATCAATTTTTAATTCATTTTTTACTTTTTCAGATAAAATGCTTTTTCAATATGAAATCAAAATACGGTGAAGCTTGCTGCAATGTCTTACCCGCCAAATTACAGAATGTTTTCGAAGCTGAAATTCTACAATTATTACCCAATAGAGATCAACATGGACGCAGAATATTAGTCTTAGAGGCAGGCAGTAAGTAGCGTAAAATGTAAAAAAAGTCCAAACTAAAGCAAAATTATTTCTTATTTATTTTAGAAAAATGGAAACCTTCTAAAGTACCCCTAGTAGATGTTTTCCGTGGCATACAATTATCAGTATTGGGCTCTATGGTAGAACCTTTATCGCAGATTTGCGGTGCCATTGTTATTATTGATGTTGAAGGTCTGCCAATGGGTCATGTTATGCAATTTACACCAACATTTGCCGCCATGTTATTGGATTATGTACAAGATTGTATTTGCATGCGTTTGAAAGCAGTGCATATTGTTAATAATTCTTATATTTTCAATATATTATTTAATATATTCAAACCTTTCATTAGAGAAAAGCTAAGGAAGCGTGTAAGTATTTATTGGGTAAATTTTTTGGGTTTTTTGCAAAATATTATAAAAATTGGTGTAATTGCAGATTTTCTTCCACGGCAAAGATTTCAAATCTCTGACTAGTCACATTGAGGCTTCAGCTTTACCGGCTAAATATGGTGGCACTGCCACCTGGGAATTGCCATCCGGTAAATTGTTAGGAGAATTTTTCAATTGTTATACAGCCGATTTTGAAAGTAAGTTGAAGATGATTTTTTTTCTTTTTATTTTATAATTTTTAAATGTTTTCTTTTCCGTTATACAGAAGCCGACAGTTATGGTTTTACCGAGGGCTATAAAGCCAAAAAATAATTGCAATGTCAGTGTGCCTTTTAACATATTTTGCCAAATTACATTACTAACAAATAACTTGTATTGTTTAAATTTTATTATTTTACTCACACATTTTTTGTTATTATTTGATTTTAGTCTTTTTTGTATGTTTAATATGTATGTATATTGTTTTATACTCCTTCCTTTATTCTTGTGTAATAATTTTGTAATTAAGTGTATTTAGTTGTAAAATGTGATATTTATTTCACATTGTGATATTATTTTCGCATTAATTTTTGAGTATTTTTCTTTGTTTTGTTAAACATTTTCATATGTTTAACTGGATAATAATACACTTTTTATATACATATAGGGATTAATATGCATAAATAATATAAATTAGTTTAATGTATTATTTGATTGTTTAAAAAAGAAATAATATAAAATAAGGAATAAAAAATAAATAAAACTAATGGTTTAAAGTGAAAAATTTAATAAAAAATTTGTTTTTTTTTTTGCGGGAGATATAAGATAAATCTTTTCTCTGGTTAGAATGTATAAAAATGCCATTTGGCACTAATTTTTACTTAATTTTTAATAAAAATATGATGAAAATAAACATAAACAACCAAAAATTTCAAACGAAACCTTTCAATGTTGACAATTTGTATAAATGATTGGCAGCACTCACTGTGTTTGGTTGTAAAAAAGAAAGATTTACGAAATAGAGTTGCCAATACATTACTTTTTTATAGTTTAAGTTAAAAAGTTGCCACTAGGTTGCTGTATTGACTAAGAAATGTTTATAGATACTGTTTTACCTGAAAACTGTTTTATCATTTTCATAGAACATAAACTTTAATGTTAAATGGCAAAGCTGTGCAACAGCTGTGAGGTAAATGTCTTTGCTTTTTATTAAAAAACAATAACAACTCTGTAGCAGAAAAACATAACAAAACAAATGTCATAATAACTATTCGACATTTATTAGTGAAAATCATTGTAAAAAAGCGCCAAAATTGTGAACAACTATTTCTAAACAATACACAAAATTAATAAATATATTAATAATTAACAAAATAAACAATAATCTATAATTAAATTCAATTACAATGGATCAATATCCAGATGAAAATGAAGAGTTTGAATTACAATATCAAGATGAATTGGAATTAATGGATGATTTCCCGCCCGAAGAACAAAATGGTAAGTTTAGAGACGCTACCAGAGACCAAATTATTCATGGAAATCGTTTGCAGATTACCGTCCTGCTGTGGCGGTCAACAGTACCCAAATAAAACCGGGCCTTAGTCAAGTTACCCTAAATTCTCCACAATTGTCGCAAATCAGTTTCAATGGTGATGATACGCAAATTTCCACACTGGCTGGACCAGTTAATCGGCGTTTGTTTGGTACCCCCAAACAGTCGCATACACGAGGAGCCTCTACCCCCTTAGTGGCTAAAAGTAAAATGCCTCCTATACAAGAAGTAATCGATATCGATGATATGGGACCCTCCACCGCCAATAAAGCTTTAGAAGAGTTAGAAAGAGCCACCCTGAAACGCAAACGCTTGGAAAGAGATCTATTTGGTAATATTGATGATATTTTTGGCAATGAAACCTATGAAGATCCAGAAGCTAAAAAAGCACGCACGGAAGAGGAAAGAGATTTGGAAATTATTGAGAAAATTTTAGAAACCCGCAAAAAACTACAAGAGCAGAGTAAGGCAGTGCGTAAAGACAACTTATCACGTTTGGAAGCTTTGCATGCTTTCAAAATGAGAAATCTTTCTTATACCATACCCCAGTGGCCATTTATGCCCCTTAGACGTAGTGATGATGAAAGAGTGTATGTTAGATTTCATTCTGAAGATTATGAAACAAAAGCTATAAATGAAATAACAGCAGCACCCACCATAGGCAGCCTTTTGGGTGAAAACAAACAGAAGATATGGGATGAAGCCAACGAATTAATACTGAAAAGAGCTAATTCTAAAGCAAAGGAAACACAAGAAGTCATAGTTGTTGAACCCACCTCGGATAAAGATACACGTTTATGGGTAGAGAAATATAAACCGCGCAAATATATAGATCTTTTATCTGATGAAATGACCAATAGAAGTTTATTATATTGGTTGAAAATGTGGGATAAGGTGGTATTTGGCAAGTAAGTGCCAGAACAAATTAATACCAGGTAAATTTCTTTTTAATTAATTTAATTTTTTCCAGAGAATTCAAAGCCTTGCAAGCTAATGCTAATAATAACGGTGAACTTAATACCTTTAATAAACGTACTGGCAAATTTGAATCTACGGGTGGTTGGCGTCCACGTAAATCTAAACAATTTCTTAATACAAATGTTGATGAAATGGGCCGGCCCATGCAAAAAGTGGCCTTATTGTGTGGCCCTCCAGGTCTGGGTAAAACTACTCTAGCTCATACCATAGCACGACATGCAGGCTATAATGTACGCGAAATTAATGCCTCCGATGATCGCAGTCCAGAGGCTTTTAAAATGGCTTTAGAAAATGGTACACAAATGACCTCAGTAATGAATGAATCGAAAAAACCTAACTGTATTATATTGGGTAAAGTATGCAACTGCTAAATTATTTGAAAATAAGGAAGAGAAATCTAATATTTCGCTATAATTTCAGATGAAATTGATGGTGCTCCTCGTCAGTCTATAGAGTTTCTGGTTAAATTTGTTACGGATAGTGTACAGAGTAAGGCGAAAGCGAAAGGTGGCAAGGCAACACATAATATTTTAAAACGTCCTATTATATGTATTTGTAATGATGTTTATGATCCCGCTTTGAGACCTTTAAGACAGATAGCTTTTGTGGTAACTTTTCCGCCTATAGATTCCGCACGTCTGGCCGAACGTTTAGTGCAGGTGGCACAAACTGAACGTTTAAAGACGGACTTTGGAACACTGATATCTTTGGCGGAAAAATCTGGCAATGATGTACGCTGTTGTATATCAACCATGCAGTTTTTTAGGTGAGTGATGCACTATAACGAAATTATTTCCTCTATTGGAACACTTTAGTCGAAGTTTTTTTTTTTTGAAGATAGATATGTATGCATAATTTTGATTTCGATATTTTTTAATGCCAATGAATTTTATTCGAATAATTTTTTAACCTAATATTTTTAACCGAATAAATTTTTATTCGAATAAATAATTATTCGAATAATTTTTTTTCAAATATATTTTTATTGGGTAATTTTTTCAAATAAATTTTATTTAAACTTTTTAAAATTTTGATTCTATTCGAATAAATTTTATATCAAAAATATTGTCCGAATAAATTTCCATTCGAATCATTTTAATAGCAAAAATTTTATTCGAATAAATTTTTATATGAACAATTTTTATACGAATAAAGTTTTATTCGAATAAATTTTATTCTTATATATTTTTTTTTAAAATTCTATATATCCGAATAAATTTTTCGAATAACTTTTTAATCGAAAATGTTTTTCCATATAAATTTTTCGAATAATTTTTAATCAAAAATTTTTATCCAAATAAATTTTTATTCGATACATTTATTCGAATAAATTTTTATTCGAATAATTTTTTTCAAATAAAAAAAAAAATTTATTTAAAATTTTGTAAATTTTGATTCGAATAATTTTTTATTCAAATAAATTAACAATAAGATTCCAATAATTTAAAAAAAAATTCTAAAAGATATTCGAATAATTTTTTAATCGAAAATTTTTATCCGAATAACTTTTTAATCAAAAATTTTTATACGAATAAGTTTTTGTTAAGGTAATTTTATTCGGGCATTTTTTAACCGTATTTTTATCAAGAAAATATAATCGAATAAATGTTTCTGTAAAATTTGAAACAATGCTCCATAGTAAATTATCCGAATAATTTTTTGAACGAAAATTTTTATCAAAAGAAATTTTTCAAAAAATTTTTATATGAAAAATGTTTATCCGAACAAAATTTTATTCGAATGAATTTTATTTAGAATTTCTTAATTTTTCCATATTTTTCTATAGAAAGTTTTTATTTTTATTATTTTTTTTAGTAGAAAGTTATAAAAAAATTTTATTCGAATAATTTTTTTTTATAAAACATTTTATTCGAATAAATTTTTTATGACAATTTTATATAAATAAATTTTTTCTATGAAAAATTTTGTTCGAATGTTTTTTATGAAAAATATTATTTCTATTTTTTTTTATAAAAAAATTATTCGAATAATTTTTTTTATTCGAATAAATATTTTTGTATATACAGTTTTTTTGTACTCGAATCAAATTTAAAAAAAAAATATTCTAATGTTTTTATAAAAAATTATTCGAATAAAAGTTATCTCTTCGAATAATTTTTTTATGAAAAATTTTATTCGAATAATATTTTTCTATAGAAAGTTTTTATTTTAATTATTTTTCTTATAGAAAGTTGTTATAAAAAATTTTATTAAAAAAAATATTCGAATAATTTTATAAAAATTTTATTCGAATATATTTTTTAATAAAAAATATTATTCGAATAAACTTTTTTTATACAGAATTTTTTTATGAAAAATTTTATTTGAAAAATTTTTCGAATAATTTTTTTTTATTATTCAGTGATTTTTTTATTCGAATAAATACTTTTGTATAGAAACTTTTTTTGTATTCGAATTAAATTTAAGAAAAAAATTATTTGAATCAAATTTTTTTATAAAAAATTTTATTCGAATGTTTTTTATAAAAAAATTATTCGAATAATTTTTAATTCAGTGATTTTTTTATTGGAGTAATTTTTTTTATTCGAATAAATATTTTTGTATTCGAATTTAATATTTTTTATTCGAATAAATACTTTTGTATAGAAACTTTTTTGTATTCGAATTAAATTTAAGAAAAAAATTGTTTGAATCAAATTTTTTTATAAAAAATTTTATTCTAATGTTTTTTATAAAAAAATTATTCGAATAATTTTTAATTCAGTGATTTTTTTATTCGAGTAATTTTTTTTATTCGAATAAATATTTTTGTATTCTAATATAATAAAAACTTATTATTTGTAAAAAAAAAAAAAAATATTCGAATAAAAGTTACATATATATTCGAATAATTTTTTTATAAAAAATTTTATTCGAATAAAGTGTTCTATAGTAAGTTTTTATTTTAATTATTTTTCCTATAGAAAATTATTATTAAAAAAAATTAGTTGAATAATTAAAAAAAAAAATTGATTCGAATAATTTTTTTTAATAAAGAATATATTCAAATAAATTTTTTATGAAAATTTTTGTTTGAATACCAATTTTTTATGAAAAAATTTATTCGAGTGCTTTTTATAAAAAAAAAATTCGAATAATTTTTTTTTATTCAGTGATTTTTTTATTCGATTTTTTTCATCGAATTTTTTTTTTATTCGAATAAATATTTTTGTATAGAAAGTTTTTTGTATTCGAATCGAATTAAAAAAAAAAACTTATTCGAATGGTTGTATAAAAAATATTTGAAAAAAAAAATCTTCGAATATTTTTTTATGAAAATTTTATTTGAATAAAATTTTTTATGAAAAATTTATTTGAATAAAATTTTTTATGAAAAATTTATTTGAATAAAATTTTTTATGAAAAATTTTATTCGAATGTTTTTTATAAAAAAATTATTCGAATAAATTTTTTTATTCGAATAAATATTTTTGTATAGAAAGTTTTTTGTATTCGAATCGAATTTAAAAAAAAAAACTTATTCGAATGTTTGTTTAAAAAATAATTTTTAAAAAAATTTTATTCGAATAATTTTTTTAATAAAAAATATTATTCGAAAAAAAAATTTATTCGAATGCTTTTTCTATAGAAAGTTATTATTAAAAAAATTTTATTCGAATAATTTTTTTATAAAAAATTTTATTCGAATATTTTTTTTTATAAAAAATTTTATTCGAATAAATTTTTTTATGAATTTTTTTTTTAAAAACTATATAAAAAATTTGATTCGAATAATTTTTTTTATAAAAAATGTTATTCGAATAAGTTTATCCGTTAATATTTTTCTATAGAAAACGTTTATCCGTTAACGCTTTCCTACAGAAAAAGTTAATATGTTAATATTTTTGTGTAAAAAAAGTTTATCCGTTAGCGGTTTTCAGTAGAATAACTTAAAATTTTATCCATTAATGTTTTTCTATAGAAAAAGTTTATTCGTTAACATTTGCTTTTAAACAAAGACAATTTTTGTAGAAAAATTTTATTCGTTAGATTAGTTCTTATGGAAATATGGAAAAAAAGTTCATACGTTAACACTTTTCTATATAAAAAGTTTATCCGATTTTCTATAATTTTTATAGTAAATCTTATATTTTTTAGCGCCCAAAAGAATGCTTTAAAACTGCAAGATGTTTTAAATAACAATCTGGGACAAAAAGATCGTCATCAAGGTTTATTTGATGTTTGGGGTTCAATATTCAGAGTAAGTTTGTCTAGTTTACTATTAAAAACAATAATAACTATTCAATTCCCTTTTACAGATACAACGTCCTAAAAAACAATTAACAGAGGCACGCGGTGAGGAAGAAGCTCAAGTAACAATGACAGATATGTCTATAAGTACAAGAGTACGTCATACCCTAGATGTAGTACATTCTGGAGGAGATTATGGAAGGTGGGTTAATTATAAATTACTAATAAATATATAATTTTGTTAATTTTTTTTTTCTTAAAGATTAATGCAGGGTGTTTATGAAAATTATTTACAACAAAAAATGCCTGATCCCGATTTAAATGGTGTAGTAGAGGCTACTCAATGGTTTTGTTTCTCGGATATGGTACAACAGCAAATAAATCATTTACAAAATTATACTGTATATCCATATTTACAATATGGTTTCGTTATATGGCATTTGTTATTTGCTTCTTTGGCTTGGCCTAAAATAAATTTCCCCACTAAAGGATATGAGGTAAGTAAGTTTTAGACTTAAGTATCATTATAAAAATCTTCATCATTATAATTATCAGCACAATATTATGTACATTTGACTTGTTTGCATTTGTTTAAAAGTGCTTATAAATGTTTTAAAATTTCAACCAACTGCCGTTAGATGATGAACGTATGAATGAAGGAATGCATGAATGAATGGGCAAATGAGCTTTTTGTGTTTGACTTGTAAATGTCATTTCATTTCTAAACATTTTGTTTTTTTTTGTGTTGTTTAATCTCAACGTCTTTAGGATATGTATAAGTAGATTTTTTTAGAATTTCAATGAATAAAATGCAATCAAGAGATTAAATGTGTTGTAGCACAACATTAATATAAACATAATGTAATGATGTTTAAAGCAATGAATAAACAAAAGAGGGCATAGATGATATAAAGAGTAAAATGAATTCATTTTACACTTACAATATGACAAAACATAAACTCATTTCTTGTTTAGTGGTTGTGTTCATACATATATTTATTACATAATTAACATTTTCCTTTAAAGAAAATACATTTATAATCAAATCGTTAACAAATCTTTTTCGTTTTATACCAACAGTTTCAACAGAAATTGACTACACAAAAGAATATATTTCAAGCTTTACGTAAATCGTTTACTGCCAGCACAGTGGGCATAGGCCAGGGTAGTGCAGTGTTATTGGAAACAGTACCTTTATTAAAGTATATATTATCGCCACAATTAAGATCGGTGGCCATACAATTATTATCACAAAAGTAAGTTTATTTAGTATTTAAAACATATAAAAACACTATACTTAATAGAAATTTTCTTTAAAGAGAACAAGCCGACTTAAAGCATTGTGTAGAAATAATGGTAGATTTGGGCATAACTTATACACAAGTTAAATCAGCCGATGGTCCCTATATCTTTCGCATGGAACCTGATATAGATACTATCATGCAATTTCCTAATTTTCCGGGAGTATCACTCTCTTACTTTGGCCGTCAACTAGTATCTCGTGAGGTAGAATTAGAACGCATACATCGTTCAACACCAAAAATCATAGGACCCGCTAAATCAGCCGCTGCAGCAAAACCTTCAATAAAAACTACATCTCCCACTAATTTACCCAATCATTTGCAACGTCTTAAACCAAAACGTATTGAAACTTCTGCAAAATCCAAGGCAAATACTGAAGTGGTAAGTCAATCTATTATATTTTATTATTACTAACTGCATGCTTAAACTGGAACATCATTATATGTACATACATATACAAATTATGCATCAATATTTTTTCTATTATTTCATTCAAACACTATACTATGCTTTAACAAAACTATTTTACTCGTAGTCGATTTACATAACAAACGCCAGGATTATAGCATTTAGTTTTTCTTTGTGTGCAAAAATAAAGAAAAACAAACAAAATAAAAAAGAAATGTTAACAAAAACGTGCTTAGGAAATTGAATTGAAATATGTAGATGGAATTATAAAATATATATAGTTTTGACTTGGATATTAAACCATATTTATTGAGAATGAAAATATGTACAGAATGTAAATTTAATTTGTAATAACAACTTGAGAATATTAGTAGAGATCTTTTAGATAATCAATATACTAATACTTATGTGGCTTAACATTTTCTTTGGAACAAACTTCTTTTAATAAACTTTGTCATATTAGGATAAATGCTTTTTACAGAAAATTTACCTTAAATAATCTTTTGTGTAGAAAACAAATCAAATTTCTATAGTAAAAACTTAAGGGATCAACTTTTCCTAAAGAAAAAATGAAAGGAAACATCTTTCTATAGAAACAAGTTAACGGATAATCTTGTTCTATAGAAAAAAATTGACGGATAACATTTTTCCGTAGAAAGAAGTGAACGGATAAACTTTTTCTGTTTAAAAAAGTTAATGGTTAAACTTATTCTATAGAAAGATAATCTTTTTCTATAGAAATATAAAGTTTTTCTATAGAAAAAAGTTAATGGATAAAAGTTTTTTATAAAAGAAATAAACTGATAACATTTTTCTATAGAAAAAAAGGTAATGGAAAACTTTTTTCTATAGAAGAAAGGTAAATGGATAACATTTTTGTATAGAAAAATGTTCACCGATTACATTTTTTCTATAGAAAAAAGTTTACAGATAACATTTTTCTATAGAAAAAAGTTTACAGATAACATTTTTCTATAGAAAAAAGTTAATGGACAACATTTTTCTATAGAAAAAAGTTAATGGACAACATTTTTCTATAGAAAAAAGTTAATGGACAACATTTTTCTATAGAAAAAAGTTAATGGATAACATTTTTCTATAGAAAAAGTTCATCGCTAACATTTTTCTATAGAACAAAGTTCACCGATAATAATTTTCTATAGAAAAAATTTCACCGATAACATTTTTCTATAGAAAAAAGTTCACAGATAACATTTTTCTATAACAAAAAGTTCTCCGATAACATTTTTCTATAGAAAAAAGTTCACCGATAACATTTTACTATAGAAAAAAGTTCACTGATAACATTTCTCTATAGAAAAAAGTTCACCGATAACATTTTTCTATAAAAAAAAGTTCACCGATAACATTTTTCTATAGAAAAAAGTTCACCGATAACATTTTTCTATAGAAAAAAGTTCACCGATAACATTTTTCTATAGAAAAAAGTTCACCGATAACATTTTTTTATAGAAAAAAGTTCACCGATAACATTTTTTTATAGAAAAAAGTTCACCGATAACATTTTTTTATAGAAAAAAGTTCACCGATAATATTTTTCTATAGAAAAAAGTTCACCGATAACATTTTTCTATAGAAAAAAGTTCACCGATAACATTTTTCTATAGAAAAAAGTTCAGCAATAACATTTTTCTATAGAAAAAAGTTCACCTTTAAAATTTTTCTGTAGAAAAAAGTTCACCGACAACATTTTTCTATAGAAAAAAGTTAATGGATAACATTTTTCTATAGAAAAAAGTTATTGGATAACATTTTTCTATAGAAAAAAGTTAATAGATAACATTTTCCTATAGAAAAAAGATCACCGATAACATTTTTCTATAGGAAAAAGTTCACTGATAACATTTTTCTATAGAAAAAAGTTCACCGATAAGATTTTTCTATAGAATAAGTTCACCGATAACATTTTTCAATAGAAAAAAGTCTAGCGATAACATTTTTCTATAGAAAAAGTGGAAAAGAGTTCACGAATAACATTTTTCTATAGAAAAGAGTTAAAGAATGACATTTTTCTATAGAAAAAAGTTAACGGATAACATTTTTATATAGAAAATGTTATTAAATAACACTTTTCTATAGGAAAAATTAACTTTCTATATAAAAAACTCCTTCAAAGGACTCATTTCTTTACAATCTTCTTTCCTAAAAAAATCGTCATCAACTAATTCCTTAAAACTCCTTAACATTATTCTTGTCATAAATCATTTATTAATCCCTTAATAATTTACAGTAAATTAAAATTGCAACAGTAAGCTACTTAATGTTTCCAAACAATATGAGAAAAAGCTTCTTGTCTTTTTTTTTAACAAAATAAACATTCATTGCCTTAATAATTTAGCTCATAAAAATTCATTGTCTTTATTATCCTGTGAAATTGAAATCAAATCTCAGTGCAATACTCATGAACAAATAGAAAATACAATAAAAAAAACATATAAAATAAATAATAGAATAAGAAAAGGTGTTTCAGTGCTAACAACAAGAACCAACTAAACAATCAACTCATTCCAAACGACTGACTGACAAACACTCGGGTTTGTTTTTTGTTTTTTTTTTAAATAAAATTCAAAGTTAAATTGAAAATAAAATTCTATATAAAACTTGTTACTAACTTTAACCCAAAGGCTGACTAACAAACAAAAGTTCTAAATATTATTTGCAATTGTGTAACCAAAAAAAAAAAAAAAAAATAAAAATGTAATAATGTAAAATGTAGCTATTCTATTTGAATCTCCATTATTTCTATCATCATCGGTGTCATTGTGTGGTATTGTTGCAAATGTGAATGAGAATTCTAATACTAATAATAATATCAATTTCAATACAAACACTAAATACGTAATGTTACAGGTCTCTAAGGATTTCTTTGGTCGTATACAGCGTAAAAGCGCTGCACAAACATTGGCAGAGGAATGTAAGTATTGTTGTAATATATGTATATGTATACAAGAAATATACACCAACACAGCACACGTTTATTCTGGTAGATATAATTTTCATTTCATTGTTTACATTGGTTGTTGTTTTCTATTCCTTTCCATTGTATTCATTTTAAAAAGTTTATTTATTATGATTAAGTATAGGAGTAGGTTTACGAAACAGAAGTTTGAAAGTTGGTTTCTACAGAACTGAACTAGAACTGAACTAGAACTGAACTAGAACTGAACTAGAACTGAACTAGAACTGAACTAGAACTGAACTAGAACTGAACTAGAACTGAACTAGAACTGAACTAGAACTGAACTAGAACTGAACTAGAACTGAACTAGAACTGAACTAGAACTGAACTAGAACTGAACTAGAACTGAACTAGAACTGAACTAGAACTGAACTAGAACTGAACTAGAACTGAACTAGAACTGAACTAGAACTGAACTAGAACTGAACTAGAACTGAACTAGAAACTGAACTAGAACTGAACTAGAACTGAACTAGAACTGAACTAGAACTGAACTAGAAATGAACTAGAAATGAACTAGAACTGAACTAGAACTGAACTAGAACTGAACTAGAACTGAACTAGAACTGAACTAGAACTGAACTAGAACTGAACTAGAACTGAACTAGAACTGAACTAGAACTGAACTAGAAATGAACTAGAACTGAACTAGAACTGAACTAGAACTGAACTAGAACTGAACTAGAACTGAACTAGAACTGAACTAGAAATGAACTAGAACTGAACTAGAACTGAACTAGAACTGAACTAGAACTGAACTAGAACTGAACTAGAACTGAACTAGAACTGAACTAGAACTGAACTAGAACTGAACTAGAACTGAACTAGAACTGAACTAGAACTGAACTAGAGAACTGAACTAGAACTGAACTAGAACTGAACTAGAACTGAACTAGAACTGAACTAGAACTGACTAGAACTGAACTAGAACTGAACTAGAACTGAACTAGAACTGAACTAGAACTGAACTAGAAACTGAACTAGAACTGAACTAGAACTGACTAACGAACTAGAACTGAACTAGAACTGAACTAGAACTGAACTAGAACTGAACTAGAACTGAACTAGAACGAACTAGAACTGAACTAGAACTGAACTAGAATGAAACTAGAACTGAACTAGAACTGAACTAGAACTGAACTAGAACTGAACTAGAACTGAACTAGAACTGAACTAGAACTGAACTAGAACTGAACTAGAACTGAACTAGAAACTGAACTAGAACTGAACTAGAACTGAACTAGAACTGAACTAGAACTGAACTAGAACTAAACTAGAACGAACTAGAACTGAACTAGAAATACTAGGAACTGACTAGAACTGAACTAGAACTGAACTAGAACTGAACTAGAACTGAACTAGAACTGAACTAGAACTGAACTAGAACTGAACTAGAACTGAACTAGAACTGAACTAGAACTGAACTAGAACTGAACTAGAATAGAACTAGAACTGAACTAGAACTGAACTAGAACTGAACTTAGAACTGAACTAGAACTGAACTAGAACGACTAGAACTGAACTAGAACTGAACTAGAACTGAACGAGACTGAACTAGAACTGAACTAGAACTGAACTAGAACTGAACTAGAACTGAACTAGAACTGAACTAGAACTGAACTAGAACTGAACTAGAACTGAACTAGAACTGAACTAGAACTGGAACTAGAACTGAACTAGGAACTGAACTAGAACTGAACTAGAACCTAGAACTGAACTAGAACTGAACTAGAAACTGAACTAGAACTGAACTAAACTGAACTGAACTAGAACTGAACTAGAACTGAACTAGAACTGAACTAGAACTCAACTAGAACTCAACTAGAACTCAACTAGAACTGAACTAGAACTGAACTAGAACTGAACTAGAACTGAACTAGAACTGAACTAGAACTGAACTAGAACTGAACTAGAACTGAACTAGAACTGAACTAGAACTGAACTAGAACTGAACTAGAACTGAACTAGAACTGAACTAGAACTGAACTAGAACTGAACTAGAACTGAACTAGAACTGAACTAGAACTGAACTAGAACTGAACTAGAACTGAACTAGAACTGAACTAGAACTGAACTAGAACTGAACTAGAACTGAACTAGAACTGAACTAGAACTGAACTAGAACTGAACTAGAACTGAACTAGAACTGAACTAGAACTGAACTAGAACTGAACTAGAACTGAACTAGAACTGAACTAGAACTGAACTAGAACTGTACTAGAACTGAACTAGAACTGAACTAGAACTGAACTAGAACTGAACTGAACTAGAACTGAACTAGAACTGACTAACTAGAACTGAACTAGAACTGAACTAGAACTGAACTAGAACTGAACTAGAACTGAACTAGAACTGAACTAGAACTGAACTAGAACTGAACTAGAACTGAACTAGAACTGAACTAGAACTAAACTAGAACTGAACTGGAATTGAACTAGAAGTGAACTAGAACTGAACAAGAACTGATCTAGAACTGAACTAGAACTGAACTAGAACTGAACTAGAACTGAACTAGAACTGAACTAGAACTGAACTAGAACTGAACTAGAACTGAACTAGAACTGAACTAGAACTGAACTAGAACTGAACTAGAACTGAACTAGAACTGAACTAGAACTGAACTAGAACTGAACTAGAACTGAACTAGAACTGAACTAGAATTGAACTAGAACTGAACTAGAACTGAATTAGAACTAGAACTGAACTAGAACTAAACTAAAATTGATTTTTTCTTCGATTAGAATTCCTGGACATTTTAATGATTCAATTACTTTAAAACTCTGTGTTTACACACAAAGTCTGTTGTAATTCTTTATCCTAACGTAAAAAGTGTGATGGGTGTGTGTGTGTGTGTGTGTAGATTTGTGTATACAATGTGTATGTTTATTAAATACTAATTTTACGCTTGAATATTTTGTTTTCCAGCTAAATCTGATCCAATTGTTAAAAGTCCCATTTGGTATCGTTACAAGGAGGGTTTCAATAATGCTGTACGCAAAGATATTCATATGAATGAATTATTGTAACAGCTTATACGTACATTAATATAGTTAGTTTTACTCTTCTTTAAATATAAAATATTATATTAGTTTTATATGTATTTATGTAATTAAAATGTTTTAATAAAAAGTTTTTTATAATTATTAATTTATAAATGCGATTGATAGTTTATTGCAATTTTATAGTTTTTCAATAATTGTGAAAGCGTTAGAGAATTTGTTTGTTTGACTTGTGTTGAGTGCACAACGATTTCAAATGTCTCTGTGCAAATATTACGATTTGCATTATAATCGTCATACATATTCATCTATGACGTTGACATTTGAAACGCAGTGTTATTCTCTTTTTAACACTTAAAGTGAGTCTGTTTTATTTTCGCAATATTTAATACATTGTTGTCGATGCAATTATATATTCTGGTGTAGGCGTTAATTTACTATATTAAGTCAAGGGTGTGTCATATTTATGACATAAATTTACTTTCTGCTGCAACGAAAACGATTACTCTTTAAATGAGCAGTTTTCTGTGCGTAATATACTATAAATGAGCATGTGGTCATTCCATTTCGTTGTAGTTTTATTTTCTTTTTAAAATGTGTATTTAAATTATTTTCTTATTCGTGTTCTTGTTGAGCTGTTAAACTGATAAGGTCTCTTCTATTACGTTATTTACAGTGTGTAGCTTGTTTTTAAGTCTTTCATTAGTAATAATTTCGTTTTGTTCGTTATTGCGTCTAGTATTTCTACGAGAGCGTATAATAGTATATTTGTTGCACAAAAATATTGATTACTTTTTTAAAACAATATATATAAATCGTGGTTTTAATTGGTATTATCCAGTATAAACATTATGTCAAAATTTGTTATTGTTCTATTAATATTTGCAATTGCATCGAATGTTTTAGTTTCTATAGAATCGCGCAGCTGGGGCATTCCAAGTAAGTTTTATAACAAAGTGTTTACAATAAATGTGTTATTGATTAATTTGTATTTGTAGATATTTGCTTGCAACCACCTCCTCGATCAGAGGGCATTTGTACGATTGAAATAGAAGGCTATTATTTCGATAGTCAAAAGAGTAATTGTGAAAAATATACTGTGGGAGGCTGCCGTCTAACGGGTGGTCAAAGTTTTGGTTCTCTTCAGGATTGTTTAGCAACATGTGTCCATGCTACTCGACGTATACAAGATATAAGACATGATTAAAGTACAAAAAACAAAGAAAAGTGATTAATAAAGTACATAAATTCTTTAAAATTTTTTTTTAAATATTATAATCCATACGTTTTGAGTTGATTAAATTCAAAAAACTCGAAACTATTTTCTGTTTGTATTATGATGGTTGTGTCACGTTTGAGTGATTTGTTGGATTATCTTACTCTGTCCACTTTAAGCTAGTTTTTATTTACTTTTCAACTCGTGCTTATCATTTCTTATCAATAATATTTGTATGTAAAATTATTTCTTTGTATTATATTGGGGGTACTGTTTTATTATCAACACAAGGTAACAGTGTTTAAAAGAGATGTCATTGGAAAAATTTGTTTCCTTCGAATTTGCTCTAATTTTGCTCAAAGACAATTAAAAAAAAATGTGTTCGAAATCATATTCAAAAACAAAATCTGTTAGTTCTAGTTCGGTCCTAGTTCAATTCAAATTTAGTTCTAGTTCAGTCCTAGTTTAATTCTAGTTCAGTTCTAGTTCAGTTCTAGTTCAGTTCTAGTTCAGTTCTAGTTCAGTTCTAGTTAGTTCAGTTCTAGTTCAGTTCTAGTTCAGTTCTAGTTCAGTTCTAGTTCAGTTCTAGTTCAGTTCTAGTTCTGTTCTAGTTCAGTTCTAGTTCAGTTCTAGTTCAGTTCTAGTTCTGTTCTAGTTCAGTTCTAGTTCAGTTCTAGTTTAGTTCTAGTTCAGTTCTAGTTCAGTTCTAGTTCAGTTCTAGTTCAGTTCTAGTTCAGTTCTAGTTCAGTTCTAGTTCAGTTCTAGTTCAGTTCTAGTTCAGTTCTAGTTCAGTTCTAGTTCAGTTCTAGTTCAGTTCTAGTTCAGTTCTAGTTCAGTTCTAGTTCAGTTCTAGTTCAGTTCTAGTTCAGTTCTAGTTCAGTTCTAGTTCAGTTCTAGTTCAGTTCTAGTTCAGTTCTAGTTCAGTTCTAGTTCAGTTCTAGTTCAGTTCTAGTTCAGTTCTAGTTCAGTTCTAGTTCAGTTCTAGTTCAGTTCTAGTTCAGTTCTAGTTCAGTTCTAGTTCAGTTCTAGTTTCTAGTTCAGTTCTAATTCAGTTCTAGTTCAGTTCTAGTTCAGTTCTAGTTCAGTTCTAGTTCAGTTCTAGTTCAGTTCTAGTTCAGTTCTAGTTCAGTTCTAGTTCAGTTCTAGTTCAGTTTCTAGTTCAGTTCTAGTTCAGTTCTAGTTCAGTTCTAGTTCAGTTCTAGTTCAGTTCTAGTTGTTCAGTTCTAATTCAGTTCTAGTTCAGTTCTAGTTCAGTTCTAGTTCAGTTCTAGTTCAGTTCTAGTTCAGTTCTAGTTCAGTTCTAGTTCAGTTCTAGTTCAGTTCTAGTTCAGTTCTAGTTCAGTTCTAGTTCAGTTCTAGTTCAGTTCTAGTTCAGTTCTAGTTCAGTTCTAGTTCAGTTCTAGTTCAGTTCTAGTTCAGTTCTAGTTCAGTTCTAGTTCAGTTCTAGTTCAGTTCTAGTTCAGTTCTAGTTCAGTTCTAGTTCAGTTCTAGTTCAGTTCTAGTTCAGTTCTAGTTCAGTTCTAGTTCAGTTCTAGTTCAGTTCTAGTTCATTCTAGTTCAGTTCTAGTTCAGTTCTAGTTCAGTTCTAGTTCAGTTCTAGTTCAGTTCTAGTTCAGTTCTAGTTCAGTTCCAGTTCAGTTCTAGTTCAGTTCTAGTTCAGTTCTAGTTCTAGTTCAGTTCTAGTTCAGTTCTAGTTCAGTTCTAGTTCAGTTCTAGTTCAGTTCTAGTTCAGTTCTAGTTCAGTTCTAGTTCAGTTCTAGTTCAGTTCTAGTTCAGTTCTAGTTCAGTTCAGTTCAGTTCAGTTCAATTCTAGTTCAGTTCTAGTTCAGTTTCGTTCAGTTCTAGTTCAGTTCTAGTTCAGTTCTAGTTCAGTTCAATTTTTCACATTTTGTTACATTTTCCTATCAACTCCAATTGTAAAAATTACATTAACGACAATATAGAAATACATCCTCCCAAGAAACTGATCTTTGCTCTGTGACAAATCAAATTGTACAAGTTGTGTATTATCGCTCAAAATAAATACTCCATGTTTTCGTTTTCATTTTCGTTTCATTTGGCTTTTGCAAAACATTGTTTGTTTTCAATTCCATAATTCTTATAAAAAATATATAAAGAAAGACTTAAACTTATAGTAGAGAAAGAAGCAAACGATCTCTTATCGCATTATAAAACTCATTAATAAAAATACAAAATCTGAGTGGCAGACATTCAATTACAAGCGAACATTCGCTGTGATCGTAGAGAAATAATACATAAACCGAGTGTATAAGAAAAAAACATCTATTTTGGTGTTAATTTATTTTATAAAAATAAAATTGTAAAGTTTTGTTAAAACTAAGGCTTTAAGTAAGCAACAAGAGTTTATAAAACTCGACAATAAAATTAAAAAAAAAAAAAAACATTTTATGAATATAAAATTTTATTATTCCTAATCAGAATCATATTATTAAGGCATTTGTTATAAACAAATACACATTATTATAATTTAACATCAAATGGGAAATTGTTTTTGTTGTAAACAATTAACAGCGAAAAGAAAGCGAGTCGAAATTCTTACAACTTGAACGTGCAAACAAAGAAGTTTAAATAAAGGAAAAAAAATTATTAACAGTATTTGGTATAAAATGATTCTTTCAAGCGCAAAGCGTCTAATAATTGTTTGTTGCATCCTTTTAAATATAATTCATACTATACAAGGAGCTGGAAATCGTACACGTAAGTTAAAACTTCACATTTTATTACAAATAATTTTTAATTGTTTTTTCGTTATACCTCTCCTCCCCCAAAAGGTGCTGTTGTTGATATTTGTGATCGTCAGCCCACCATTAATGGTTTGTGTGGCTCCTCAACTTTAGGCATTTATTATGATGCTGAAACTCAACGCTGTAAATATTTGGGCTGCAGTCCAGATAAGAAAATATTCTCATCTCTAGAGGATTGTGAAAAGATTTGTAATAGAAAAAATCGTCGCCGTCATAGACGTGTTCGTTATTCAAAACCATAATTGATTTGTGTTCAAGAAACATGTGCATGATTTCAATAGTAAAACTGTTTGCAAATACAAAAAATCAAAAACGCAATTTTTTTCTTTCTTAGAAATAGTGTTTAACTATAATTTTATTGGTATTCAATAGAAATATTGAAAATAAAACGCAATTTTATTGTTTGTGTTTGTACTGCTGAAAGAAGATAAGGATATACTATATTTTATTTTTATTATTATTTTAAATATATAATACAGTACCTTGACATGAAATGATTTATGCAGTCGAAATAATTAATGCTTGCATTCGATTATGTGTCTAGAAAAATAATATCTAGGGTACAGGTCACAAGTACGCAGACTACTAAATCAAAAATATTGATTGAATTTATAAAGTTTCGCTGAATTGAAAATTTTCCTTAATATGTTGACTCATTAATAAGGAAATATTAATTTTCATTAGATAACGATTGATTAGCAAATTGTATTTTATGCGAAATCTTGATATTTTGCAGATATATCGGATTTAGCATTGATTAAAAACTCATTGTTATGCAATTTTGTTATAATATCGTTTATAAAACAATCCTTTTTTATGTTGTTTCTCTTATTCTGAGTTTCAAACTAATTTTGAGCTTTATTTTCCGTCTCATTGTTTGTTTTTAACAATTATATTCAATAGCACACTTTCAGGCTTTAATTTAATCTCAACAAACACGGGTTCGAAATAACTATGATCCTTGGAAATTTAAAACAAATAAAGTTCAGTTATACTTAGTTAGTTCTAGTACAATTCTATTTCACTTCAGTTTCTGGTACAATTCTAGTTTAGTTCTAGTTCAGTTCTAGTTCAGTTCTAGTTCAGTTCTAGTTCAGTTCTAGTTCAGTTCTTTCCGTTCTAGTTCAGTTCTAGTTCAGTTCCAGTTCAGTTCTAGTTCAGTTCTAGTCAGTTCTAGTTCAGTTCTAGTTCAGTTCTAGTTCGTTCTAGTCAGTTCTAGTTCCGTTCTAGTTCAGTTCTAGTTCAGTTCTAGTTCAGTTCTAGTTCAGTTCTAGTTCAGTTCTAGTTCAGTTCTAGTTCATTCTAGTTCAGTTCTAGTTCAGTTCTAGTTCAGTTCTAGTTCAGTTCTAGTTCTAGTTCAGTTCTAGTTCAGTTCTAGTTCAGTTCTAGTTCAGTTCTAGTTCAGTTCTAGTTCAGTTCTAGTTCAGTTCTAGTTCAGTTCTAGTTCAGTTCTAGTTCAGTTCTAGTTCAGTTCTAGTTCAGTTCTAGTTCAGTTCTAGTTCAGTTCTAGTTCAGTTCTAGTTCAGTTCTAGTTCAGTTCTAGTTCAGTTCTAGTTCAGTTCTAGTTCAGTTCTAGTTCAGTTCTAGTTCAGTTCTAGTTCAGTTCTAGTTCAGTTCTAGTTCAGTTCTAGTTCAGTTCTAGTTCAGTTCTAGTTCAGTTCTAGTTCAGTTCTAGTTCAGTTCTAGTTCAGTTCTAGTTCAGTTCTAGTTCATTCTAGTTCAGTTCTAGTTCAGTTCTAGTTCAGTTCTAGTTCAGTTCTAGTTCAGTTCTAGTTCAGTTCTAGTTCAGTTCTAGTTCAGTTCTAGTTCAGTTCTAGTTCAGTTCTAGTTCAGTTCTAGTTCAGTTCTAGTTCAGTTCTAGTTCAGTTCTATAGTTCAGTTCTAGTTCAGTTCTAGTTCAGTTCTAGTTCAGTTCTAGTTCAGTTCTAGTTCAGTTCTAGTTCAGTTCTAGTTCAGTTCTAGTTCAGTTCTAGTTCAGTTCTAGTTCAGTTCTAGTTCAGTTCTAGATCAGTTCTAGTTCAGTTCTAGTTCAGTTCTAGTTCAGTTCTAGTTCAGTTCTAGTTCAGTTCTAGTTCAGTTCTAGTTCAGTTCTAGTTCAGTTCTAGTTCATTCTAGTTCAGTTCTAGTTCAGTTCTAGTTCAGTTCTAGTTCAGTTCAGTTCTAGTTCAGTTCTAGTTCAGTTCTAGTTCAGTTCTAGTTCAGTTCTAGTTCAGTTCTAGTTCTAGTTCAGTTCTAGTTCAGTTCTAGTTCAGTTCTAGTTCAGTTCTAGTTCAGTTCTAGTTCAATTCCAGTTCAGTTCTAGTTCAGTTCTAGTTTAGTTCTAGTTCAGTTCTAGCTCAGTTCTAGTTCAGTTCTAGTTCAGTTTTAGTTCAGTTCTAGTTCAGTTCTAGTTCAGTTCTAGTTCAGTTCTAGTTCAGTTCTAGCTCAGTTCTAGTTCAGTTCTAGTTCAGTTCTAGTTCAGTTCTAGTTCAGTTCTAGTTCAGTTCTAGTTCAGTTCTAGTTCAGTTCTAGTTCAGTTCTAGTTCAGTTCTAGTTCAGTTCTAGTTCAGTTCTAGTTCAGTTCTAGTTCAGTTCTAGTTCAGTTCTAGTTCAGTTCTAGTTCAGTTCCAGTTCAGTTCTAGTTCAGTTCTAGTTCAGTTCTAGTTCAGTTCTAGTTCAGTTCTAGTTCAGTTCTAGTTCAGTTCTAGTTCAGTTCTAGTTCAGTTCTAGTTCAGTTCTAGTTCAGTTCTAGTTCAGTTCTAGTTCAGTTCTAGTTCAGTTCTACTTCAGTTCTAGTTCAGTTCTACTTCAGTTCTAGTTCAGTTCTAGTTCAGTTCTAGTTCAGTTCTAGTTCAGTTCTAGTTCAGTTCTAGTTCAGTTCTAGTTCAGTTCTAGTTCAGTTCTAGTTCAGTTCTAGTTCAGTTCTAGTTCAGTTCTAGTTCAGTTCTAGTTCAGTTCTAGTTCAGTTCTAGTTCAGTTCTAGTTCAGTTCTTGTTCTAGTTCTAGTTCAGTTCTAGTTCAGTTCTAGTTCAGTTCTAGTTCAGTTCTAGTTCAGTTCTAGTTCAGTTCTAGTTCAGTTCTAGTTCAGTTCTAGTTCAGTTCTAGTTCAGTTCTAGTTCAGTTCTAGTTCAGTTCTAGTTCAGTTCTAGTTCAGTTCTATTTCAGTTCTAGTTCAGTTCTAGTTCAGTTCTAGTTCAGTTCTAGTTCAGTTCTAGTTCAGTTCTAGTTCAGTTCTAGTTCAGTTCTAGTTCAGTTCTAGTTCAGTTCTAGTATAGTTAAGTTTTAATTCAGTTCTAGTTCAGTTCTAGTTCAATTCCAGTTCAGTTCTAGTTGACATTTTTTACATATTTTTACAAATATTAATTAAATTTTAAATTTATTGCATTTTATCTACTTAAGTGCATTATTTCCGTTTCCCACTTTGCAAACACAATTATCTATGTATGCACTTTGCATTAACATAATTAACACTTGTTGTATATTCCGTAACACTATTGGAATGCAGATAAATGTTGCAATTTATTAATTTTAATTAAATAAGTTTAAGACTATTTTATGTTTAACTAAAGCAGACATACACATAAGAAAGCGGATACATACACATGTACAAATACGTGTGCATGTATAAGTATATAAAATAATTTACATATTTAATTTGCATAGGAGTGTAAGTATTTGGAAACCCGGTAGTTTTAGTGAGGTCTAGTGAATGCTAGATGATATTATAATACTAACTCTTTCGAGTTAAATAAAGTGAACCAGACTGATTGTAAAGGGTCAACAAACAAACATTAGGGGACCATTAGTTGCTTAATGCTAAGGGGTTATTGTCACATGTTGAAATGGTTGGACTTTTTAAGATCGTGTATCACACAGAGATTGTCCAATTTGTTATTTGCATACTTACACATACACATACTTTCGTGTTTATTAAACAATTTGTAACTTACTACACAAAAGCTGTTAAAATTTAATTTTCTCATACAAATTTTCTAATTTAGTAATTAAATGTGTCTTTGGAACGTGCCAAATATCATCAAATTATAATATAAATTATTAAATAGATAAATATACAAATACAAACATACAAACACGAATACATGACAATGTTAATATTATATATTTAGCATATGTACATAAATAAGTATGTAAATAATGTAAGTATGTATGTTTGTCTGTATATGTGTACATATTTATTATAAATTATTAACATACTAGTTTATTTATAAAGTTAATTATTTTTAAAGTTTTTCAATTATTTCAAGTAAATTAAATATGCGGTCGTTTGTTTGTTTTTTGATGAAATGTCCAAATAATTTTCAATAACATTCAACGGTAGATAATTTTTATAATTTTTCAATTTTCCTAAATTTTATTCAATTGAAAATGTTTTCATTTAAACATAAAGGGTGAAAACATTTCAAATTAGTTAATTTTATTGTTGGATTTAGTTATTTTTAAAATATGTGATTAAATTAATTAAATTGTAAAACATAGTTTTTGATTAGCAAGGTTCATTGAACAACCTCTAATATGATTTTCTTTATCTGTAGTCATTTGTAATTGAAGGGCTTTGTAAAATTATTTAAAAGGTCATATTTTATAACCAAAATATCTATAACAATTATTTAAAATTATAATATTAAAATCTTTCTTTTTCCAAAAAATTATCTCTTGGCTTGCAACCTTCAAAAAATTAGAAAGTATTTTAGCATTGATTCTCATTTTGTGGAAATTTCTGTCTCTATCGCCTTAAAAATTTTAAATAATTTGATTTCAAGAACTGCACGTACTCATGTGTACCTTGCATTCAAAATTATAATTTCAAAAAAAAAAAAAAAACAATACTCTGATTGCTGATAAACAAAACAATTTACTTTTTTCTTATGCAAACGTAAATTCCATAATTAGTTGAAATAATGACCATTTAAATATATTATTTTAAAGTTCACTGACATTATTTTAAAAGACATTTTTATTTCTCATGAAATTGTAACAACTAGGCTTTCCTACGATGTAATGAGTTTCAATTCTAGTTCAGTTGTAGTTCTAGTTCAGTTCTAGTTTAGTTCTAGTTCAGTTCTAGTTCAGTTCTAGTTCAGTTCTAGTTCAGTTCTAGTTCAGTTCTAGTTCAGTTCTAGTTCAGTTCTAGTTCAGTTCCAGTTCAGTTCTGGTTCAGTTCTAGTTCAGTTCTAGTTCAGTTCTAGTTCAGTTCTAGTTCAGTTCTAGTTCAGTTCTAGTTCAGTTCTAGTCAGTTCTTGTTCAGTTCTAGTTCAGTTCTAGTTCAGTTCTAGTTCAGTTCTAGTTCAGTTCTAGTTCAGTTCTAGTTCAGTTCTAGTTCAGTTCTAGTTCAGTTCTAGTTCAGTTCTAGTTCAGTTCTAGTTCAGTTCTAGTTCAGTTCTAGTTCAGTTCTAGTTCAGTTCTAGTTCAGTTCTAGTTCAGTTCTA